AGAGAGAGAGAGAGAGAGAGAGAGAGGGGATCGTACTTCACTTAACACCTCTGCGCGATATTTTCGTTAGATCCTGCACTCGAGATCTAATTTTGACACGGTATAAAGTCGTTACGTTCTATTGCGAGTGCTTTGTCGTGTTTCTTTGAACACACAGTTTGAAAACTTGCGCGCGATTTATTGGTCAGTTTTCGCTCGCACAATAGCAGAAGACATTAGCAGCGGCTGCGAGGAAAATCAATAGCGAAGATATATTAAAATCGTACAAAAGACGAGCGTACGTAACAACGCTTTGATATCGGCCACGGTTCACCGAACTTGGATGCGTGGCTAACGCAGCTTTCTAAGCTATCGCGTTATTACGAAACGTTAACCCCTTTGTGCGCGTTGGCATCGCGTTTGAACGACGCGAGATTTGTTTTACACTTTCACGCAGTTGGAAGTTTACTTTAGAAACTTCTTCCTCTTCCCTTTTTTCCTCTTTTTCCTTATTCGTAGCGATTCAATTCTCCCGTGAACTACACGAAGCACGGTGAAGAGGAATAAAAATCGTACGGTGTGTGGCGCACGTTAAGATTCCCGAGGTGAAAGTCGACCGAGGTGAAGGAAGTAACCCTTATCAAGGATTCGAGATATTATCCTCGAGGCTTTCAGGAGAACTCACGGTCGGCGACAGAGAGAAGATTCCTGGAGAAGAAGGCTCGCAGGGACGTTACACGGCTGACGTAGAAACGGCACTTCTCTGTCTCGGGCCGGAGACCACATTCCACCGAACCATTTTATTTTATTGGACTGAAAGGTGTCAAATATAGGTGGCAAAGGCCCTCCTACTTACATTCCTGCCGCTACCTTCCTACCGTCCCTCTTCACCGCCGGTCTGATTTCATCGTGTAGGTAAAACCTTGGAAGGGAGAGCCCGACCCATTGTGGCCGGGTGACAGTTTTTTGACAGATTCCGTCTGATTTGGTGTCGAGTGACAGAGGCACGATCTCGCTGCATTCACACGATTAACTAGCCCTACCATCCTCCGCCGACTCTTAACCACCAGAGGTTACTATTTAACCACTTTGATATTCGTAGAGAAAACGTGATGCATCGAGAAAATTGTAACGACATTCTGTCAATGTCAGTTACCCTGATAAGAAGAAGTAGAATCTTGTTGGTGCCCTGTGCGAAGCTTAGAATAGTTCCACGGAAAGATCAGTAAAAAAAGAAAAAAATTGAAAAGGCAGAAGTCGGCGAGAGAAGAGAGAGAGAAAAGGGGAAAAAAGGCTATCAAAAAAGAAACGTACGGCTCGTACAAGCATACGTATGAAGGTTATATAGGAGGCGAAGGTTTGGCTTAGGTCCTCTAATCTCTCCTTCTTCCTTGCTCTTTCACCGTGTCTCGTCGAGTGTAACTGTATAACGGGGTTCCCCGGTTTTTGTGAGGTCATGGGTATACGTGCAAAAGCGCATAAAAGCTGAGGGGGCGCGCACGGTGTGGGATACGGCTTATTTCGGCGACAATGCGTAGGGCCAGGCGCGAGCATAAAGGAGCATAATGCACCCTGCTAACGTGAAAATTATTCTGTCAAACATTCGGACGTCGGATTACGGGCGGCATAACCTCGTGGTGTCCTGGCAGGACACGCTTTTTTTTTCAGAAAAGACGCGGCCAATAGGCTGCCGTGCAGATGCCGAAAGGATTTCTCGGTCAACGAGACGATCGTTGATTTACGCGTCAACTCTCGCCGGATAGCAAATTGGGAGGTCGCCGAAAGGGGAAACGACGAAATTTATAGATCCATAAAATCCTAATATTACGCGCTATTTAGGAGAAGGGTTATGTTAACTCGATGATATAATTCCCAATTCGCGCGCAACGGTATCTTCCCTAGGCATTATTGTTTTTTCCAACGATTCCGCTACTGTCACGTTCGAACCCCAAAAAACTGCTGGCATCGTCTCGCGTATTTTTATATTGCAGAGATCCTGAACGTGTGCTGAAATACACGCTTGCACGTGGCACGAGGAATAAAGGATCCTGCGTTCACCGATTGACGAACTTATATACTCGAGCCATTAGCAATTTTATATCGCATCGTCCCAGCGTCTTGAAGGCGAGATTCCTGCAAGCGTCAATACGATTCCTCGCGTGCGTCAGAGATTTTGCCAATTGAACACTTTCCTGTTTTTCCTATACCCGATTTTCAAATGTTGCGCTCGCGTCAGACGGATGTGCACGCGTCTGCACGCGCATGTGTCCAACGCAAGAGATGCCGTTTTCAAACGTCGCATTCGTATGAAAATTGTTTCAAATATATATAATATAAGTATATCAAATCAAATATATGATATAAGTTTCTCCTGATAATTGATAAAAAAGATAACAGTGAAAAACAATTGATACAATCTGCATCTTTCTTTAGTGGAGACAATGCCCGGATATTACAGGTGAACGATATTTCGTGTGCATTAAAGGTTTTGAAACTGAACGAAGTATATTTTTTATGAATAGATAGCTACAATTAATAACCTTCTTCTTTCACGAATAAACGAAATTCTGGAGGATAAAGATAGGAGGATTAATTGTAGCCGTTTACTTCAAATAAAAATCAAGTAATAATAATAATTATAAACCAAATAATAATAACAATAGTTATAAATCATTCATTTGGTGTTGGTTTTTGTATTGATGAATATTTATGTGTTTAATTTCATATGAATTTTAACATGAATTTAGTTTTGTATCGATGAACTGTGGATGTTACGAATCGAAATATACATCTATCAATTACGTTTATTATTTTGTAGGTTGCAGTATGTTAGGCGTAGTGGACGACATTGACGAGTGCCCGAATATTAAAAGTTACACGCATATTCACGTACACAGGTACACGAGAGGAGACAGGGACCATTGACGTTTTACTTACATTTTCGCTCTTCTTCTTTCGTTTTCTTCCGCCCGTTATCGCGCGGTTATTTGCTGTTACTGGGAGCCACCCTCTCTCTCTTTCTTTCGCATCGAGTAAACACACCCCAACGAGAATGAATACCAATACCCCCGACGCGGTCTCCAGCGCGCTCCTCTCGTATTCTCGAAAACAAGCAACCGGAGTGAAAAGAAGAGCGTAGAAAAGAAGAGAGACGAGAGATGCAATAGAAACCGGGTTCCGGCGTTGCAGACACGAGGAATATTGTGACATCTCTTTCTTGGCTGACATTCAATTTTCCAGGCTCTGGAACGACGATGCCCCAACCGCACACACACCGTACACCCCATAGAATGGAACACGATATACCCATCTACCTCCCCTTTCCCTTTTCACTGTGCACCCGATGCAACCCGGCCGCACCCCGGCTGCTCGCAGTGTATATACAAACAAACAACAACGGTCGTCTGGCCGTGTCCACGAGACCGACACCCGCCAGAAGGGATGTATCGTCGCGCGGAGGCGCTCCAACACTCGCGCCGGATACCACCCGGTGGTAATCGTTCGATCCACGAACCGTTTGTGTACGAGCAAGCAATAAAATTACTGGCGACGAGTGCGCGTGAAAGCTTTGTACGATAATGTATCACGTGACACACTCACGCGAGCCTAGCCGAAATATCGTACGAATAATATTTTTATACCGGGTTGCACGAGAACGAGCCGTTTAAAGGGCTGTTTCAATCATCTCTTCGAGGGATGAGGTCAACGATGGGGGATCGGGAGGAGGGATTTTCCCATTCGTTTGCTGTTCCTCGAAGAAGAGATCGAGACTTGGGGGAAAAACTTCGGTATTTTTTTCATTAATTTCGCAGGCGAAACGCGAAGAGAGGAAAACAGGGGAAATACTCGCTCGCAATTCGAAAAGGATGGTATATACCCGGGTATATCTGCAGACAAGCTGTTGGTTCTGCCACGTTTTATCTCCAATTAGCATCTCTCTTAATGACGATCCATACGCGCGTTCGCGTGACACGCACCAACATACGTCCCACTTTACGCTCGCGCTCGCTATCGTTTCGTGCGTATGCATGCACGTATAGTGCATACATGTATGCCGTGTCCACGGACGTTTCGCGCGACACATACGTTCTCACAGATGCAATCAGAGTAGGGAGAAAGCATGCGAAACAACGTGCTAGAGAGACAGAGAGAGAGAGAGAGAGAGAGAGAGAGAGAGAGACAGAACACGAGTGAACCAGGAAGAAAGGGAGGGAACGGACGAACGAAAGACCGGGTGAGAGCGAGCTCGACGGAAAAGGACAGAGGGGATCTATAAAAAAGTCCTTTCCCCTACTCGTAGCCGAGTCCTTACCCCGCCAAGCTCGCCCCCTTGAAAACGCGTAACGAATGCAACGTGCACCCTGCACTCTCGCGCTCCCTTTTCCTCCCCGCTACTTCTCTTCGATCGCCCCTCCATTTTCATCCCTACCACAATCCAGGGGGGATCTTTATTTTTATCGTTCGACCGGTTGGAAGCGTACGTGGCGTACGTTCACCACGCCCCTGCTGCCTTCGTCCCGCCAATCGGTCGGCTCGCGACCAGCCATTTTGGTCCATGCGGAGGCTGCGCGTTTATTCCCTGTCTTTGTCTCTCGTGACCTTCGGCTGTGTAGGTGCCCCCTACGAGGAAGGATGCTACTGCGCGCGAGTGTGCCTTGTAAAGGCGAGACGCGCGTGTACCCGTTGGTGGGGGTGTGAAACGAACAAGGGCGAATCGAGTCGAACCGAGTTCGGTCAGTATTTCCCGAAATTTTTCCCGAATTTGGGGACGGCTGATCTCGGGGCAGGTGATCTCGGTTTTCGATTTCGGCATCTTTCGCGCGTTCAACAACGTACCTTCGATCCCCCCCTCCCCACGTTGTGGTTGAAAAATCACAGTTGGCTCGCCGCGTTTCGTCGCGTCGCGTCGCGTCGTTTCGAGGTCGTGTGCATCAGCAGGCTTGGACTCGAGATAGATCCCCA